TTTCAAAAAAAAAAAAGGGGGGGCGCTGTGCGGCATGGTGGCTCCCACATTTGTAACCCCAGCACTTTGGGAGCTAGGGCGGGTAGATCACCTGAGTGGTCAGAAGTTCGAACCAGCCTGGCCACATGGTGAAACCCCTGTCTCTACTAAAAATACAATAATTAGCCAAGGGTGTGGTGGCACGGGCGACCTGTAATGTCCCGCTACTTGGGAGGCTGATGGGCATTAGAATCGCTTGAACCAGAAGGGCAGAGAGTTGTGGTGAACGAGATCATGCCATTGCCACTCCAGCCTGGGTGACAGAGGGAGACTCCCAACTCAAAAAAGAAAGTATAATTAGCAACTTCAGAAACGAGTTAGTAGATACTTTGGGTGCGGCCCCTGGGCTGGTCCTAAGTTAACAAATCTGTTGACCAGTTGGAAAGACCTTAGAGGTCATCTAGTGTGACCCGATACATGATTTACCCTTGGATAACATTCCAGAGGAGCAAATTCCAGCTTCTGCTTCAAACCTTTGTTTTTACATTTTACATTTTTCCCCCTAAGTGTTTGAATAATTCTTGCTTGTGACATAAAATATCTAACTTCTTTGTACACTTAACCATTCGGTTTTTTGCTTATGCTGGCTTCCTCAGGATAATGACAAAAGAAGGATCAATTCCCGTCCTTTTCTTGCATAGTCCTAGTTGAAAGATTGCTGTGGCTCGAGGCCGGGCAAAGGTCGGCTCACGCCTGTAATCCCGCACTTTTGGGAGCCGAGGGTTTGGCGGGATCACGAGGTCAGGAGATCGGACCATCCTGCTAACACGTGAGAACACCCGTCTACTAGAAAATACAAAAGAAGTATAGCTGGGCGTGTGTGGTGTGGGCCGCTGGTAGTCCCAGCTAGCTCAGGGAGCTGAGGCAGGAGAATGGCATGACCCCGGGGGGTGGAGCTTGCAGTGAGCGGAGATAGCGCCAAGCACTTCAAGCTCTGGGTGACAGAGCGAGGAGCTCTTGGTCTGGAAAAAAAAGGCGTGGTGTTAGTGGCTCAGCCTCTTAACCCAGCACTTTTGGGAGCCAAGCAGCGGCGGACTCACGAGGTCAGGGATCGAGATCATCCTGGGCTAACACGGCTGAAACCCCGTTCTTACTAACAAATACCAAAAACCTAGACCGGGCGAAGTGGCGGGTGCCTGTAGGTCGCAGCGACTCGGGAGGCTGAGGCAGGAGAATGGCGTAAACCACGGGGGCGGAGCTTGCAGGTTCTGAGATCCGGTCACTGCCTTCCAGCTTGGGCGACAGAGCGAGAAGAAAACAAATTTTTTTTTTTTTTTTTTTTTTTACTCAGGAAAGAATCCTATGCCATAGTGGCCTTTGTTTGATACATATATTATTAGCGTGCACTCCTGTAGGTACACTAAAAACTTAGCTCATGCACTTTGTATATCCTTATAATCGTACAAAGAAAATACATTGATTCTTTTCACTGGTGACAAATGCCTTGCCAAAATCAAAGAATTTCCATGAACCTTAAGAAGGAAATAATGTCAGGATTTCGAATCAACATCCGTTTCTACTGACCATTTATTTTTAAATAGGTTTTAAAATCCTCACAAGGGCAGTAGCTCATGCCTGTAATCCCAGCACTTTGGGAGGCTGAGACGAGAGGATCGCTTGAGCCCAGCCAGGAGACAAGCCTGAGCAATAGCGAGACACCCATCTCTACAAAAAATAGAAAAATTAGCCGGGTGTGGTAGTGTGTGACGGTTGTCCCAACTACGAAGGAGGCTGAGGCAGGGAGGTCACCTGTGCCCGGGAGGTCAAAGCTGTAGTGAGCCGTGATCGTGCCACTGCACTCCAGCCTGCGCAAGAGACCCTGCCTCAAAACCAAACCAAACCAAACCGATAACACTGGCATCATACCAGCCTGCACTTTGGGACAGGTGATGGCTGGGGTGGGAAGAAACGTGAAGAGGAAATGAGAACACAGAGAAAACGCTGCAACAAGAAGTCCTCTGGCTTCACTGCAGACAATTGGTTTCTCCTTCGCTCGTTATCTTAAAAACCGGGCTGGTGTAGCAAATCTGACGCAGCACTACGGCTTTTAAGATTTACCTTGATTCGTGATATTACCAAGCAAAGGAATGCAGTAAATTGACCTGCTTCAAACGTAGGTAGAACTGAGAAACGGAAACAGAAAACCATGAAACAGCCCCAGTGTTGCAGTGAAGCTGTGACAGGTCGATGCCTTCCACTCGGGAAGCCCAAGATGGCCGGGCCAGGAACCCGGGAAGCAGCTGAAGTCTCAATTCCCCTCGCCCTAGGCCTGCCTAAGAGAAGTCAGAAGCCGCGCCACGCCCCCTTACATCACCGATAGACGTAATCCGGTTCCGCCGCAAACCTGCCGCAGGCCAAGGCCCCGCCCCGTGTCCCGCCCACCCCAAGCGGGATGGCTGAGCGCCGCACGCGCAGCACGCCGGGACTAGCTAGCGAGCCTCCCAGCAGCCTCTGGGACGGGCGCGGTGCGTAAGTAGCTCGCCGGCGGTGGCCGTTCTCCGTAAGATGGCGGACCGGCGGCGGCAGCGCGCTTCGCAAGACACCGAGGACGAGGAATCTGGTGCTTCGGGCTCAGACAGCGGCGGCTCCCCGTTGCGGGGCGGCGGGAGCTGCAGCGGTAGCGCCGGAGGTGGCGGCAGCGGCTCTCTGCCTTCACAGCGCGGAGGCCGAATCGGGGCCCTTCATTTGCGGCGGGTGGAGAGCGGGGGCGCCAAGAGCGCTGAGGAGTCGGAGTGTGTGAGTGCGCGCAGGCGAGGCGGGGCGGGGTGGGGTGGGGACCGGGCGGCGAGCCGGCCGGCCGGGGGCGGGGTGTAGGTGATGCTAGGTGTCTGGGAGTTGATAGTAGATACTGGGACTTTTTTTGTTGTTTTTACGAGAAAAGGGGAGTTATCCCAATGCGAGTTTGCATCCGGAGTTCTAAGGGAAGAAGGATTGGGGGTTTCTGGGAGGATGGCAGAGCCGCTGGGGATGGAAAGCGGATGTTTATTCAGAAATCGGGTCTGGAGGGAAGGAGACCAGACCTGCCTTGGCTACTACTTATTAAAGACCAGACCTGCCTTGGCTACTACTTGTCTCCCTCTCCGACCATTTTGTGCTCAGTCTTCAGCTCTTCACCCACATTTCTTTATTGGGCTCCCCACCTCTGGAAATCACAGAACTAACCCATGTCTTCTACTTTCCTTCAGGAGAGTGAAGATGGCATTGAAGGTGATGGTGAGTAGCATCTTTTACCCCATTAGGACAAGAGTTTTTTTTTAACATAAACTCAGACAATCTATTTCCAACTGTCGACATTCTCACACACGGATTTAGGGCCACAGAGTGGCTTTTTGTAGCATAGTGCTTAAGAGCATAGGTTTTAGCAGTGTAGTCTTGTGCAAGTTACTCTGCGTCTGTTTTTCCTTCTGTAAGTGGAGACTATAATTTTATCCACGTTGTAGGTTGATGTCAGAATTAAATGAGACTCTTAGTCTGACCTATAATAAGCAGCCAAAAAATGTTTCTGGGTTTCTGTTTTTCCACATATTTCTGTTTTATTTCAGCTGTTCTCTCGGATTATGAAAGTGCAGAAGACTCAGAAGTGAGTATGACAGGTTTTTTTCCTATGGTACAGATCAGAAATGCTTTTAGAAAGTGTACACACCTTCGTTGCAAACGTACCATGACCTCCGTGTTTATCCTCTTGTGTATTCTTCATTTATGCTTCTGAGAAAGTGTTACAGAATGTCTTGTTCTCTTTAGACCTAGGGAAAACTTGGGGCATGCTGTCTCAAGCCACAGGTGTTATACTGTTTGTTGACTTCTCTTCCTGTCTGAAGAATATGAGATTCTAAATAAGAGAATGAGTACATCTTGAAGTCCTCTGAAAGATGTTTGACAGTTTGTTTTATGCAGTGTAGGTTAAGAAGCCAGCCAGTTGGATATTTTTTTCGTGGATTTTTTTTTCCAAATCTATCTGAAGACTTTGAAAGGGTAGGATTCTCAATGTTTTGTGCCAAGAGCATCCATCATTTTATAAGTGGGGATTTCTCTGTTTCTAGGAGAGTTTCCTGTCTTTTGGATAAACTACTAGAGATGCCATCAGAATAAATGTTTGTTTTCTGGGTTGTTGAGTGGAGTCCTGAGTTCTGCTAATGGGATTATATACAGGGGGAATTGGATAGTGGATCAAAGATTTTGTCTATGAATTTTTAGAACCGTTACTACATTTTAGAATCTGTTAAGCCCTTGAAGATGGAACAGTGAACACTATAACAAAATTCCTATCTTTAGAGATCTTACAACTTAATAAGGAAGTCAGACAAACATTCAAGCAATTGTAGCACTTGCTGATAGAGGATAGCGCTGGGATAGGGCTAAGTAGGGTGTTATAGCTGGACACTGAATCCATCCTAGTCAGTCAGGAAAGATTAAGAGTTGACTGGGTAGAATGTGTTCTAGGCAGAGGGAACAACAGTCAAGAAAGCCCATAGAGGCTGGGAGCAGTGGCTCATGCCTGTAATCCCAGCACTTTGGAAGACTGAGGCAGGCGGATCACTTGAGACCAGGAGTTTGAGACCAGCCTGGCCAACATGGTGAAAACCCATCTCTACTAAAAAATAACAAAAATTAGCTGGGTATGGTGATGTATGCCTGTAATTCCAGCTACTTGGGAGGCTGAGACACGAAAATTGTTTGATCCCAGGAGATGGAGGTGGCAGTGAGCTGAAATCATGCCACTGCACTCCTGTGTGGGTGACGGAGTGAGACTGTCTTGAAAAGTAAATACATAAAAAAAAAAAGAGGCCAGGCACTGTGGCTCACGCCTGTGATCCCAGCACTTTGGGAGGCCGAGACAGGCGTATCACAAGGTGAGGAGGTGGAGACCATCCTGGCTAACACGGTGAAACCCTGTCTCTACTAAAAATACAAAAAATTAGCCAAGCATGGTGGCGGGCGCCTTGTAGTCCCACCTACTCTGGAGGCTGAGGCAAGAGAATGGCGTGAATCCGGAAGGCGGAGCTTGCAGTGACCTGAGATCGCACCACTGCACTCCAGCCTGGGTGACAGGGCGAGACTCCGTCTGGAAAAAAAAAAAAACCCATAGGGGTACAAAAAAGTAATAATACTTAGGATGAATAAGATCTAAACCCAGCGCAATGGCTCACACCTGTAATCCCAGCACTGTGGGAGGCCAAGGTGGGCCAGTCACCTGAGGCCAGGAGGTCAAGACCAGCCTGGCCAACTTGGCAAAACTCCATCTCTACTAAAAATACAAAAATTAGCAGGTCGTGGTCACACATGCCCGTAATTCCAACTACTCAAGTGACTGAGGCAGGAGAATCCCTTGAGCCTGGGAAGTGGAGGTGGCAGGGAGCCATAATCAACACCACTGTAATCCAGCCCGGGCAACAGAGCAAGACTCTGTCTCAAAAAAATTTAAAAAATAAGAATGACTAAGATCTAGAATTTCATATTTGCAACATGGTGACTACAGTCAACAGTAACTTATTGTATATTTAAAAATAACTATTGGCTGGGCGTGGTGGCTCAAGCCTGTAATCCCAGCATTTTGGGAGGCCGAGGTGGGTGGATCACGAAGTCAAGAGATCAAGACCACCCTGGCCAACATGGTGAAATCCTGTCTCTACCAAAAATACAAAAATTAGCCGGGGTGTGGTGGCGTGCGCCTATGGTCCCAGCTACTCAGGAGGCTGAGGCAGGAGAATCGCTTGAATCTGGGAGGCAGAGGTTGCAGTGAGCCGAGATCACGCCACTGTGCTCCAGGCTGGTGACAGGGCAAGACTCCATCTCAAAAATAAGTGTCAATAAAAGAATGTAATTGAATTGTTTGTAACAAAGGATAAGTGCTTGAAGTGATCCGTACCCCATTTACCCTTAACATGATTATTACACATTGTATACCTATATAAAAATATCTCATGGGCCGGGCGCAGTGGCTCACACCTGTAATCCCAGCACTTTGGGAGGCCGAGGCGGGTGGGTCACCTGCGGTGAGGAGTTCAAGACCAGCCTGGCCAACGTGGCAAAACCCTATCTCTACTGAAAAGAAAAATTAGCGCCGGTTGCGGTGGCTCAAGCCTGTAATCCCAGCACTTTGGGAGGCCGAGGCGGGCGGATCACAAGGTCAGGAGATCGAGACCATCCTGGCTTAACCGGGTGAAACCCGTCCTACTAAAATAAAAAAACTGCTGGGTGGTGGCGGGCGGGCTGTAGTCCCAGTACTTTGGGAGTGAGGCAGGGATGAATGCCTGTTGAACAGGCAGGGGGGCGAGCTTGAGTGAGCTGAGATCGCGCTGCACTCCAGCCTGGGCACAGAGCAAGACTCCGTCTCAAAAAAAAAAACAACAAAAAAAAGAAAATTGGGCTAGGGGGTGGTGGGCTGGCACCTGTATTCCATGGACCGGTCTCAAGAAAACCACAAAACAAAAGGAAAAGGAAAAATTTTAGCTAGGCGTGGTGGCTGCACCGTAATCAGTTGACCAGGGGGACTGATGGGAGATTTACTTGACCCAAGAGGTGGAGGGTGTGCAGTGGCTAAGATGGTGCCATGCGTCCAGCCTGGGCACAGAGAACCTTGTCTCAAAAAAAATCTTATGGTACTGGCTAACTATATTAACCTTCTATGTATCACAAAAATAAAATTCTTTTTTTTTTTTTTTTTTTTTTTTTTTTTGAGACGGAGGTCTCGGCCTTCTGCGTGCCCAGGCTGGTAGTGCATGTGGCGGATCTCGGCTCACAGCAGGCTCGCTCCCGTGTCACGCCATGTCTCCTGCTCAGCTCCGAGTAGCCTTGGGATTACAGGCGCCCGCCACCTCGCGCCGCTAGTTTTTGTATTTTTTTAGTAGAGAATGGGGTTTCACGTGTTAGCAGGATGGGTCTCGATTCACTGACTCGTGAATCAACCGTCTCGGCCTCCCAAGTGCTGGGATTAAAGGGCTTGGCACACGCCCGGGCCTCTTTTCTTTTTTTGGTTTGGATGGGGAGCTTGCTTTCTGTAACCCAAGACAGGAGTGCAGTGGCGTGATCTTGGCTCCATGAACCTCCGCACCTCCGGTTCCAAGCAGTTTTCCTGTTCGCACTCTGGTACTGGGATTACAGGTGCACGCACACACCCGGGCTAAAACTTTTGTACTTTTGTAAGTAGAGACGGGTTTCACCACTTTCAGCCGTGCTGTCTGGAACTCGACCTCAGGTATCGTCCGCATCATCTTCCCAAGTACCAGGGTTATTAGGTGGTGATGTCACTATGCCAGCCATTTTTTTTTTTTTAAGGGAAGAGCAGGGTATACTCTTGTTGCCCAGTCACCAGGCTGAGTGCAGTTGGGGATACGTCACTAAGCCCAATGGCTGGCTTTCCAAACAGTCCTCTACTTGACCTCAAAGTGGCTGCGATTATAAGCATGAAGCCGGGCATGCCCAGCCAAAAAATTAACTTTTTTTTCTATCTATTCGGGTGAGACGGTTGGTCACGTTTCTCTTGCCCAGGACTGGAGTGCAATGGCTTGATCTCAGCTCACTGCAACCTCTGCCTCCCAGGTTCAAGCCATTCTTCTGCCTCAGTCTCCCAAGTAGCTGGGATTATAGGTGCATGCCACCACGCCCGCCTGATTTTTGTGTTTTTAGGAGAGACGGGGTTTCACCATGTTGGTCAGGCTGGTCTCGAACTCCTGACCTCAGGTGACCCACCTGCCTTGGCCTCCCAAGGTGCTGGGATTACAGGCATGAGTCACCATGCCCCCCAATTTTTTTTTTTTTCTTTTTCTTTTTAGATGGAGTCTCGCTTTGTAGCCAGGCTGGAGTGCAGTGGTACAATCTCAGCTCACTGGAGCCTCCGCCTCCCGGGTTCAAGTGATTCTCCTGCCTCAGCGTCCCGAGTAGCTGGGACTACCGGTGTGCACCACCACACTCAGCTAATTTTTGTATTTTTAGCAGAGATAGGGTTCCATCATGTTGGCTAGGATGGTCTCCATCTCTTGACCTCGTGATCCATCCACCTGGGCCTCCCAAAGTGCTGGGATTACAGGCATGAGCTACTGCGCCTGGCCCAACATTTTTTTTAAAAAGAGAGAAAGCCCAGATAGAGAAAATAGCGTTTGGGAACTTGGGAGTAGTTAGGTGTGACTGGAGCGTTGTTGGTACAGGATAGGTATTAGAAATAAAGACAAATTGGTGAGCAGGGGCCACCAATTGGTGAGGTGGGACGATTGCTTGAGCCTGGGAGGTGGAGGTTGCAGTGAATCAAGATTGTACCCCTGCACTCCAGCCTGGGCAACAGAATAAGACGCTGTCTCAAAAAAAAAAAAAAAAAAAAAAAAGTGATGTGATTGGATGTCTTTATTTTTTAAAATTTTTATTTCCTTTTTTTTTTTTCTCTGAGATGGAGTCTCACACTGTCACATGCCCAGGCTGGAGTGCAGTGGTACGATCTCAGCTCACTGCAGCCTCCACCTCCCAGGTACAAGCGATTCTCCTGCCTCAGCCTCCCAGGTAGTCAGGTAGCTGGGACTACAGATGCACGCCACCACACCCAGCTAATTTTTTTTTAAATTTTTAGTACAGGTGAGGTTTTACCATGTT